GAAACTTCCTGGATATAAAGACAGAACCATAACCATTAGTCTACGGAAACTTAATTATTCAAATAACCGATTTCAGGAGAGATTAACTTTGCGGTTGATGGAGAACCACGAGATTCTAAAATTCAACAATTAAAATATCACGGCGGTAATGGTAATTTTAAAAGTATTGCATTCATTTAAGATCCCAAATTATTATTTTGTTAACAGATACACCTTTAGCTAACAAGTTTTAAAACTTAGAAAATTGTTTCATACGTTTGCCATCGATATGCCTGCTTAAATTAAACAAAACGCCACACATAAATTCATCTAAATAAAACATTAAGTTTAATAAACATATTCATTATATGTAATAATTGAAATTAAGTTGGGCAACCAACTATATATATATATATATATATATATATATATATATATATATATATATAACTTTTCATTGTGTTTACTTTAAACCGACAATACCAGAAAACTATTACGGATTACATAACATGCAGATATATTTACTTCTATTGTTCATATTGTACGCAGGTCTTACATTTACAGTGATAAATGGAATGACCTCATTCTTTTTCAAAGACATTTCTAAACGGAGGAATGCTGTCCAAGGCATCCACAAACAATAATAGACGTATTAATTATCGTTCAAAAGAGCAACATTCCCGGACAATAGTACATTTTTCGACCAGAGTTTAGCTGTTTTGTTTATAGATTTGTAATATATTTTTTCAAAACTTCTGAAACTGAACAACCTTTTTGCAGTGGAAAAAAATGTACGAAATGAGTTTGAGGCGAAAAAAATGTAAGAAATGAGTTTGAGGCGAAATGATTGAATAATTAAAGCTTGTACAAAATTAATAAATCTTATATATTTTTCCACATACTAGTGAACTCATTGCATGGCACATATAATACAACAAAGTTTTAATTGCGTCAAGTTACGACCGTTGATGAACCCGTTTTCGATATCATTTTGTCTAGAATTGAATCAGAAAGCTGGTACTTTCCGTACCGAGAATTAAAACTATAAAAAAGCTTCAAAACTCTTTGAAAACTTTGAAAAAAATTAATTTTTGGAAATGTTGGAATTTTTGAAAAATTTCTTTTTTTTATTGTGAATGAAAGTTTCGAATATTTTTCAAATCAATAGCGCTGTGTAGTTCCTTGAGGAACGAAATATCGAAACGCGTAAGCGCTGCATCTGGGTCTAATCCGTATAAACATTGGTACGAAGCCCATAAAAATGTAAACAAAATTTATACTTATTACAAAACTCTCTATAAAATATCTGATAATTTGATGGACTTATATCTAATGATCATTATTCATCGCGAAATAGTATTTTTTTACTTTTTTTATTTGGTTTTCGAAATCGCTGGACATGGTTTCCCAAAAATTTAGTTGTTCGTTTCGTTAATATAAATAAAATATATTTTAAATCATTCAAATCGGACATTCCCTTCTCTCAAAAACCGAATAACCACTTTTGGCGGTTGTTGCCCAGTATCTTCGCAACGGTCAAACCTGACTTTGCCGAAAACTAATCAGCACGTCTCCCCATTAACACGGATCGAATGTTTTATGAATTATTTTAAATCGGATGATCCAAGTTCCCAAATCGGCGACGAAAGTACGCATACATACACACACATGCACAACATACATGCATCCATTTTTGTTAAAGTTAATTGGTTAAGATAAAATGGTCAGGAACGTTTGAAACGTAAAGGTATATAAAAAAAATATTTTTGTTTTTTTGCGATTAATATAACTTAATCTACGGAAAGTTGAAATTGACAAGATTGAAAATTGTTGAATACACTACATTTCCAAAGTTTTTAATAATTTTGTTTCAATATAAAGTTAGATCCAATCTGAAAAGCCTTCAAATATTAAAAAAGTATAGTTATATATGAATACGAGTATAGATATGTAAGTAAATAAAGTAGCTGTTGCTCATAAGTCTATTATATCATATACATTTGTTTATTAATTTATAACAATTAAAGTTAGTTAGTTTGTCTCAATAATAATACATATTAAAATTTAATAGTTTTTGTTTTATTTGATAAAGAAAATTGCATTTTCTATTTTAATTTTAATTTCACGTTGTATCTTTTCTAGTAATTCTAAATCTACGAGCACAAACATTAGAAAATGTCTAATTAGGTGTAATGTATATAAGTGAATGCGTTTTATTGGGTTTTGGCCATGTAAATTGAGTACCACACGCAGATAATCATTAACGACACTAAAGTTTGAATGAAAAATTAATTTTTCTATTTATGTAAACAAATTAAAATTACTTTTAATCGGTTTCTTTCGAAAAAGAGATATCAATAACAACTACATTTCGAGATTTACAAAAAAATCTACAATAAACATAATAATCTGAACAAACAATAAGTTTCATTGCATGTTAAATATCAAGATCTGTTTCACCAGGGTGGGTGTGGGATGTTCCAAGTGATGATCGTATTTCAGACTTCACCTCGATACCTTAACGTTCACTCTTATTCCGAAAAAATAACAGCACGATAAATTGCGTGATTCATAGTTACAAAGGTTATAGTGCTCACAGCGTAATGATACCCATGATACAAATATAACCGAGTCAGTGAGAGAACAACGAGACTTGCCCATTGCTGGTATGCAGACGTAGATGTTTCTATACTACTTTTTGAAATAAAAGAGCAAATAATATTATATACATAGAATAGTTATTTGTTGAATAATATTACATAATTCAAATGTACAGAGATGGCTCAATTTTGTGTCAGGTGTATAGTAAGGTTTTCTGATCCTTCGATGACGAACTCGTCGTAATTAAACATTCGAGGAACAAAAATAATCAATAAAAATGTATCAATGATTAATAACAATGGTTTTGAGTATTTTCTAATATGTATTATAAATACTTTAAATTTTATCATTCATATTTTATCCTGGATCAGGGGTCCCGGGTTCGATACCCACTTCGAGCAGCCTGTTGTCAGGCAGCAGCTACAACGATTCTCACTTGGAAATATAGATATCAATATGCTTCCAAGTGAAAACAGCCCTATACGGCATTATTATTACAACAATTGTAATAATAAAAAAAATCATAGAGATGAGACATCTGTTTGGGTCGCCATCTATAATAAAACAAACGTAGTTTGTAAGAAATTCATCACAACAGCTCTAGAACCCATAAGTTCTGGTCGCTGTAAAAAAGTTAAAAAAAAAAAATATTTTGCGATCGCACAAAAAACTATATAAGTTTACCAGATAAACATAACATAACAATCGTAGGTAAATGAGTAAGCTTTACAATTTTTGAAATTCAAAAACCTTATTTATATTTAGAAATTGCAAAAAAAATAGGTTTTGAAATTTTTGTTAAAAAGACTGAAATTATTCGAAAATAAATCGATTTATTTGTAGAATTTGAAATATCTGAAAATTTCGATTATGTGAAATTCTCAAATTTTGTAATTTTAACATCTTTTGAAAGTTTTGCGATTTAAATATAAAAAAAAATCAAAATTTTTTTTTTTTTTTGAACTGCTGGACCTGCCTTTCTCAAAACCTAATCATTTCATCACACAGTCAACACAAGCACAAAGTTTTTTGAATCATTTTAGTCAGATGATCGGTTCTCTCAAAAACTGGTCGATCATTTTTTGTACCCTTTATATGTCATAAACGGCTGTGGTATCTGTTGACCGTTTATAAATGTGATGTAGACTGATTTTTGGTCGCTGATTCGTAATCTCCTAAATCATAATTTTATGCCATGTTTCTATCATTAGAATGCGAAGCTGCAGAAGTTCGGATGCTATTTTAGAGTCTTCATGCTTGAATATCATGCATATGTCATCTGCAAATGTAGCAATTTCAGTATCTGAAGAATTCGGTATAGCAGATGTAAATATGAGAAATGGTATAGGGCCTAGCAGGCTACCTTGTGGAACACCAGAGTTAATATTTCTGGGAGATGAGTTGCTAGACTAATGTAGAATTTTTTGTCAGTAAGATATGATTTTAATATTGAGGATAATTGTGCAGGTAAATTATTCTTTAATTTATGAAGTTATCCGGCATGCTAAAGCTTGTCAATAGCTTGGGATATGTCAAGGAAACTAGTTGGTTTGGTATTTAGCCTTGAGGCAAGTTACATGAACTTCCCGATATGTGTAAATAATCGACTTAATCACTAAAAAATAAATAAATTTATGAGTGATTAAAAGTATTCCGAGTGGATTTATTACACATAATTGAAAACGAACGAACACGTTAATCGGCGTATTTTCTAAAAGCAAATTTTCAAATTCAATAATTTTTTATTTGAACCAGTTTCCGCAAGATTTATTACGTTTATTAAGGCCAAGTACTCTATCGTTATACCAAGTGAATCGTCTAATTTTAATTTTAACAAACGTCAAAAAAGCTACTAATTTTCTCAAACTTTTATGAATTCTTAAAATTAAACTACTTGTCGTAAGACCGTAATAATTCAGTAAGTTCTATAAGACCATGGTATATATCGCCAAAAAAGTTCCATAAACATCGTCTTAATTTTTTTTTCAACAGTTAATTTCAAGAAAACGGCTCGGTAGATTTTCACCTAAAACTAATCAGTATCATTACCAACTAACATCTTGCAAACAGTTTTTGATTTTTTAAAATCGTTTCGGTAGAATGAGTTTAAATGTGGACGAAAAGTTTAACACTTTTTTTCAAATTTCAAAGAGACGGCTCGGTCAAATAATGAGATGGCAGCAGTGGAATTCGAATTCTCATTCAACACGTGTTCTTAATATTTGATTCTGTCTGTATCAACTAGGCTAGTATAACATAATAATATATGGCAGCGGTGGGATTCGACCCCACGCCTCCGAAGAGACTGGTGCCTAAAACCAGCGCCTTAGACCGCTCGGCCACGCTACCTCTCATTTAACTCATGTTCTTAATATTTGATTATCTCTGTATCAACGAGGCTAGTATAACACAATAAGATATGGCAGCGATGGGATTCGAACCCACACCTCCGAAGAGACTGGTGCCCAAAACCAGCGCCATAGACCGCTCAGCCACGCTACCTCTCATTTAACACATGTTCTTAATATTTGATTATCTCTGTATTAACTAGGTTAGTATAACATAATAAGATATGGCAGCGGTGGGATTCGAACCCACGCCTCCGAAGAGACTGGTACCTGAAACCAGCGCCTTAGACCGCTCGGCCACGCTACCTCTAAATGCACACCTTTACATAATAAAAAAAATAAATCTGCCACATCTGCTCGTGTACAAAGTAGTACATAATGAAATATCTGCCACATCTAGTCTTGCGCAAATCAATACATAATAAAATATAGCAGCGGTGGGATTCGAACCCACGCCTCCAAAGAGACCAGCGCCTTAGACCACTCGGCCACGCTACCTACCAATACACACCTCTACCTAATAAAAGATTACATCTGCCACATATAGTCGTGTACAAAGAAGTACATAATAAAATTGGTAATATCTGACACAACTAGTCTTGCACAAATCAATACATAATATTTTTTTAAAAATTCTCCGAAGAGACTGGTGCCTAACACCAACGCCTTAGACCGCTCGGCCAAGCCTCTTACTCTACACATGTTGTTAATATTTGATTATCTCTGTATCAATTAGACTAGTATAACATAATGAGATATGGCAGCAGTGGAATTCGAATTCTCTTTCAACACATGTTCTTAATATTTGATTCTCTCTGTATCAACTAGGCTATTATAACATAATAATACATTGCAGCGGAGGGATTCGAACCCACGCCTCCGAAGAGACTGGTGGCTAAAACCAGCGCCTTAGACCGCTCGGCGACGCTACCTCTCATTTAACATGTTCATGTTCTTAATATTTGATTATCTCTGTATCAAAGAGGCTAATATAACATAATAAGACATGGCAGCGGTGGGATTCAAACCCACGCCTCCGAAGAGACTGGTGCCTTAAACCAGCGCCTTAGACCGCTCGGCCACGCTACCCCGTGTTTAACACATGTTCTTAATATTTGATTATCTCTGTATCAACGAGGCTAATATAACATAATAGGACATGGCAGCGGTGGGATTCGAACCCACGCCTCCGAAGAGACTGGTACCTGAAACCAGCGCCTTAGACCGCTCGGCCACGCTACCTCTGAATGCAGACCTTTACATAATAAAAAAATATATCTGCCACATTTAGTCGTGTACAAAGTAGTACATAATAAAATTGATTATATCTGCCACATCTAGTCTTGCGCAAATCAATACATAATAAAATATGGCAGCGGTGGGATTCGAACCCACGCCTCCGAAGAGACTGGTGCCTAAAACCAGCGCCTTAGACCGCTCGGCCACGCTACCTCTCATTCAACACATGTTCTTAATATTTGATTATCTCTGTATTGACTAGGTTAGTATAACATAATAAGATATGGCAGCGGTGGGATTCGAACCCACGCCTCCGAAGAGACTGGTACCTGAAACCAGCGCCTTAGACCGCTCGGCCACGCTACCTCTAAATGCACACCTTTACATAATAAAAAAAATAAATCTGCCACATCTGCTCGTGTACAAAGTAGTACATAATGAAATATCTGCCACATCTAGTCTTGCGCAAATCAATACATAATAAAATATAGCAGCGGTGGGATTCGAACCCACGCCTCCAAAGAGACCAGCGCCTTAGACCACTCGGCCACGCTACCTATCAATACACACCTCTACCTAATAAAAGATTACATCTGCCACATATAGTCGTGTACAAAGAAGTACATAATAAAATTGGTAATATCTGACACAACTAGTCTTGCACAAATCAATACATAATATTTTTTTAAAAATTCTCCGAAGAGACTGGTGCCTAACACCAACGCCTTAGACCGCTCGGCCAAGCCTCTTACTCTACACATGTTGTTAATATTTGATTATCTCTGTATCAATTAGACTAGTATAACATAATGAGATATGGCAGCAGTGGAATTCGAATTCTCTTTCAACACATGTTCTTAATATTTGATTCTCTCTGTATCAACTAGGCTATTATAACATAATAATACATTGCAGCGGAGGGATTCGAACCCACGCCTCCGAAGAGACTGGTGGCTAAAACCAGCGCCTTAGACCGCTCGGCGACGCTACCTCTCATTTAACATGTTCATGTTCTTAATATTTGATTATCTCTGTATCAAAGAGGCTAATATAACATAATAAGACATGGCAGCGGTGGGATTCAAACCCACGCCTCCGAAGAGACTGGTGCCTTAAACCAGCGCCTTAGACCGCTCGGCCACGCTACCCCGTGTTTAACACATGTTCTTAATATTTGATTATCTCTGTATCAACAAGGCTAATATAACATAATAGGACATGGCAGCGGTGGGATTCGAACCCACGCCTCCGAAGAGACTGGCACCTGAAACCAGCGCCTTAGACCGCTCGGCCACGCTACCTCTGAATGCACATCTTTACATAATAAAAAAATATATCTGCCACATCTAGTCGTGTACAAAGTAGTACATAATAAAATTGATTATATCTGCCACATCTAGTCTTGCGCAAATCAATACATAATAAAATATGGCAGCGGTGGGATTCGAACCCACGCCTCCGAAGAGACTGGTGCCTAAAACCAGCGCCTTAGACCGCTCGGCCACGCTACCTCGCATTTGACACATGTTCTTAATATTTGATTATCTCTATATCAACAAGGGTAGTATAAAATAATAACACATGTTTTTAATATTTGATTATCTCTGTATCAACAAGGCTAGTATAACCTAATAAGATATGGCAGCGGTGGAATTCGAACCCACGCCTCCGAAGAGACTGGTGCCTTAAACCAGCGCCTTAGACCGCTCGGCCACGCTACCAGTCAATACACACCTCTACCTAATAAAAGATTACATCTGCCACATATAGTCGTGTACAAAGTAGTACATAATAAAATTGATAATATCTGCCACATCTAGTCTTGCACAAATCAATGGCTTTTAAATTTTTGAAATCGGTCTAGCCGTTTCTGAGAAATCGTCGATTTACGGCAAAAAATCTGTTCACATACACATATACACACACACATATTTTTTTCCAAATTTGGTCTTATTCGATTCAGAATGGCTTGAAACATCGAGAAAACATAAAATTAGCGAATCGAATTATTTGATGAAAACATAAACTTCTCCTTCGGGAAGTTAACAAGCTGAGCAGTACTTCTCTTCACTTCATGTGTTCGACGATTCTATATGTTTGTTCTATGGTGGAGTGGAGCTTTCTAAAACCAAATTGATAATCCGGGATTATAGATTATCATGAAGTGTTGTTAGTACCTAAGCAGAGTTTCTCAAATATTTTGGAGAGGGGTGATAGTAAGCTTATAGGTCGGTTTGACTTCAGTAAACAAGGATCCTTATCTGTTTTAGGAAGTAGAATCACTTTAGCTATTTTCCACGTCTTAGGAAACACTTTTAATCTTAGGAGAGAGTTTTTGGTTGAAGATGTTAAAAAATTAACAAAATGAATTTTATATATTTTTTGCTTATATATGAAAGTTTTGTAAAGAAAACTTTCAAATTTTATGAAAAGAGATCTTGTAATAAACCTTCTTCTTGACAACTTTTCTTAAGGCAACTTAATGTATAACCGAGCTATTTTTGATATATTTTCATTGTTAGATTTTCTCTAATACTGATAATATTTTTTTAATGTAATGCTGCAATGCCGGGTTATGACTATTTTCACTTGGAATACATATATATATATATATATATATATATATATATATATGTGTGTGTGTGTGTATTGAACCTCTGAGTTTGAGAGCACAAAGATTTACACTATTAAAAAAATATTGGATTTATTTGTAGTTCAACAATTATAACAAAATTATATATTTATATATAGATAGGTACTCCCCGAACTGACTCGACGTCCTCTTCGTGAGGGGTGGGCAACGAATAGCTGGAAACAGCGAAATCGGCTAACCGAGTTAGCTGGTGTCGGGCAGCAGCGATATCAGTAATGACTGAAGGCACAGAGCAAATGATGCTCAAGATGGCTCCAGATCAAAAAGTCCGGAGCGGACAGACAAAGTAACAAATGAAGAAGTCCAAGAGAAGAGTGGGCGAAGAAAGGACTCTACTGAGCACAATTCTGAGAAGGAAAGGAAACTGGATCGGACCTCTTTTGCACAAAGAGTGCCCCCTACACGACGTCGTCGAGGGTAAAATAGAAGGAACAAAAGTAATGGGAAGAAGAAGAATGCAGACGATTCACGACTTACGCGAGAAGAGAAAATACAGGGAACTAAAAGCCGAAGCACATGATCAAGAAGCATGGAAACAAAAGTTTGGAAAGGAAAACACATGAAATTAAAAAAAATGGGAATAGTGGTAATGGGATGAAGGGCGAGAAAATCATTTGTTGTGGTGGCTCTCACACCATTGACCTGCCTTCGGGCAGACTACTATTATTGTATAGATAGGTAAATATAAAATGATGCAATGTTCAATAGAACAAAAAACATGGATAAAAACATATATATATATATATATATATATATATATACATATATATATATATATAAATGAATATGTATAAGATACTCTTGAACTAAATTGATATGCTTTTTTGTCATCGAACAATTCTTGGGCAATTATATTTCTCCAACCGTTACATTAAAATGTATGATTTGTAATATTAAAATGACCAGCACATTTCGCACCGAACTAGAAATTTGAATTCATTATATAATTATATCATATTAGCACATATCGAAATACATAATGTGCGCTTATCATGCGTCATAATTTTTGCAATAATAGCTATATTACTTTATTAAAAAACTTTTTCCATATGACTTCGCTATTACAAAATTAGAACAAAACTAGTAGTGTATGCATCGTGCCTTAAGGCAAATTGCTGGAACTATCCCTACCGTAACAAAATGATCGAAAAATATTAAATGTTTTCAAATAGATTATTATAAATACCGTAACATTTTCTAATATTGATAAGAATATAAACTGAATTACAAAGCTAAAATTATTTAATAAAAGTATTTAAGTG